TCTTTCCCCGCCAGCATTTAAAAAAAAAAAGTTGGCAGCCACCACCAACATTTTTGATCATATGGTCCCCAAAATATGTTGTTGTATGAATATCTGAACATGCAATATGTCAAAAGAAAGAACAGAGCCTCTGCTTTAAAAAAAAAAAAAGCTTATAGCTTCATGCATTCTTTTTTTTTTAATCAACACTTGAATATGAAAGTTTAATTAAAAAAGCAACATTTTTAACAAAAAGATGAGAAAATTGTGTTTTTGTCAAAGACTACATCTGGCAACTTTAATATTCTTATATGTAAATTGACATTTTAACAAATACAATTAAAATATACAGAAATCATACAAAATATGATTTAATAGAAAGCATGTGGTAAATAAATATTAGTATGTATAGCCAACATTAATATACTCTCAATATGTAAATTGTTAGTACAACACAAACAATGATATACTACAATCTAAAACTATATGAATGGCTAATGGTAAAACGTGGTCACTGTTGATCTGTAAAAAAAAATGTTCTGCATCTGGAAAATATACTAATATGTAAAATGGAAATACAAAACAGAATTAAAAATAATATGCAAAAATGAACATGCATGTAATAGAAAGTGTGTGGTAAATAAATATGTATATATATATCAAACATTCATATACTTAAGATATGTAAAAGAACAAAAAATTGAATATTTATGTAAAAATAATTTTTCAAACACAAAGTACTGACTAGTTTTGCACTGTATCTTATCTAAGAAACCAATATATTTCAATTCAGTTCATCAACAATTCATCAACTTTTTTTTAGAGGGAAAGCTTTTACAAAAATACAAATGTATAGTAAACATTAAAACATTACATATATACATACATACACACACACATATATATATATATATATATAACCCTTAAAGCTTCAAAAACCTTAGTCGCCACTTCAGTCGGTAACATTATGCAGTTTTGATTAATATGCTGTTTAATGTTTGATGACTATGATTCTTATTTTACATATGCGATCACTTGTTTCTGCTTCTACTTTACTGTGTTTTGATCCAGACATTCAATACTCTTTCAGAAGATGCGTAATAGTGCTTCCTACCATATAACAGTCAAAACATGAAAAGTCATAAAATTCCGTCAATGGCAGAAAAGAGTTAAAAATAAAGGTTCCAAAAGGGTGTTTTTAATGTGATGCCATAGAAGAACCATTTTTGGCTGCCTAAAGAAACTTTCAGTCATGAGTTCTTATAAGAACCAAGATTTTCTTGGTGTGAAGAACATTTTAATAATCTAAAGGACCTTTTGTGCAATGGAAAGATTCCATGCATGTTAAAGCCTCTTCATGGAACCATCAATACCAATAAAGATCCTTTAATGCCATCATTGCAAATTTGTAAGAATTTTTATTGCAGCAAACCAACTTAAGTGGCATTTTGCAATGTGCCGCGCACCTCTATTGTTTCCCAGCAAAGGAAGATCAGGCTAATTTAAACTTTCCCTATTGAACCTTGAGCCGCGTTCTGATTGGCTCAAAAGTGTGGGAAACCGAAGACGCGCCGGATCAGGGCGTATATAACGGGGCCCTGCAGCAGAAGACACACACTCGAGTAAGTGACAGCAAACAAACTGCAGTCAGAATGGCTCCTACTGTCTGCAAACTGACTCACACTGGAAAGGAAAAAACTAAAGTAAGTATTTACCTTTTTTTAAGAACTCATTTCCATCCCAAAGCAAGAGTGTTTACTTACGATCCGCTCTTTTTTCCAGACGAGGAAACCAGAGGTGGAAAAGATGCGCAGAGATCGTATTAACAGATGCATCGAGCAGCTTAAAGTTCTTCTGAAAGCCGAGATAAAAGCCAGCCAGCCCTGTTCTAAACTAGAGAAGGCTGATGTCCTGGAAATGGCTGTCATTTACCTGAAGAGCAACGCCTGTCCGAGCGCGCATGCGCAGAGCTACGCGCACGGTTTCTCCAGGTGTATAGAGGAGACGGCGCGATTCATGGCGCAACAGATCGCCAAGCCAGTTGTAATGGGACAGTGCGACACAACCCAGCGAGCCGAAGTGAGCGCGGAATCTGCTGGTGACAGCTGTCAGATCGCGTCAAAGAGCAGCGGACAGCATGCGCTCTGGAGGCCCTGGTGATCTTCACGAAGACATACAGAGAATAGACGGTTTCTCTAAACAGAAAAACACTTGGTTTTTATAAAACGTCGATGTAGACAGTAGCTGTCACGACGCAGAGAATGTACCAGTCTACCCCATACCTGAGTCTGAGAGCGCCTATCTATTGCGTTACTTCACCTGTGTGGAGATGAACTTTATTTACATATTGTAAAGATGAGGAATACATCACCTCATTATGTTTCCGTTGAAAATGATCTTTTTAATGAGGTCTGTAACCTTTAGAGGTGTTAAATCCGTCATACTGATGGAATGTGTAACAGTGTCTCATCATGTTGAGTTCAGAAAAAAAATAAACTAAAATTACACACATTTCTGTTTATGGTTTAATTATTATCATTTTTTTACGAGGTCATAACTTGAATACTTTTTTTATTAAATATTTTTAATACAGAAAACCCTACACACGTTTATGGATTTATTTATTTTTTTAAATGAATTCATAATTTGAATGCCTTAAACTTTAAATTAATTACAATTAATATTAAAAGCTCTAAATTTAATCGTTTGCTTAATGTTCTAACTCATACTTAGAGCTAATAATATATTTATGGTTTATTTATTTTTTAAATGAGGTCATGACTTGAGTACATTTTTTAATATTTAATATAGAAAGCCCTACAAATTAAAATTACAAACGTTTCTGTTTATGGTTCTGGTTTATGGTTATTTGTACATCTTTACAAATGATTTTTATCATTTTCATTTTTATTCTGGAGCCCACAGCTTTTTCAGGAAAAAACTAAACAAAAACACTTTAAACCATTAAAAAAATCGTCACTTGAAATAAACAATAACTGAAAATAAATTAAAAAGTAAACTTATTTTATTTCAGCTGTGCAACATTTCCCATTTTCATTTAGCTTAACTCGAATAACTAAAACTGAAATAAAAATAGATAAATAAAAATAAAACTGATAAACAGAACAAAAATAAGACAAAAACTAATAATAATAAAAAAAAATAAAAAAAAAACAACAGAAAATTTAAAAATAAAATTCACAAAAACTTTAAAATTAAAATAAAAACAGAAAATATAAAAATAAAAATCACAAAATCAAAAAAAAAAACAGAAAATATAAAAATAAAACAATTTTTTATTATTCTAAAATGTAGGAAATAGTAATAATAAAGAATCAGTAGATTTTTGTGGAAATCTATGCAAACTTAAAAGCTAGAGCCATTTGTGGTGTTGTTAATTGTTTTCTTTAATTGAAATCAATCTTTTAACAAAATAATTATTGTTAAAAAACAAATCAAAATTAGAAATGTTGCCTTGGCAAATAATTAAAATAAAATAAGTTGAACTAATAAAAACACTAAACTGAAACTAAACTAATAAAAATGTCAAAAGCACAAACTTAAACTAAAATTAAAATGAAATCAGAAAATACAAAAGTAAAATATAATTCAAAATAAACTTGAAAAAATAACATGAAAATGAGAAATGTTGCCTTGGCAACTAACTAAAAACTATATAAATAAAATAACAAAAATGACCTAAGCACAGGCTTAAACTAAATGACAAACAGAAAATATAAAAATTAAAATCTAATTCAAAATATTAATAAATACTCTGTGCATATAGTAGTATATAAATGACTAAAATAACTATAAATATTACCAAAAATAATTATATTGTTGGTTGGTATCATAGTCTGTTTGGAATTTTATACATAATAGTTTAAATAGCATCTTTACGATTTGTTAGAGGTAAATCTCTTCACTCGAGCCTTCTTCTGTGAAGTGTGAATGTGTCATAAATCTGAGGTCTTTATGAAGAGCAGATCTGCAAAACAATGTAGCAATAAACCTTGAAAATTCAAGGTGTCAGCAGCAAGTCTAAATAGCATGAAAATAAAAGCAAATAAAGCAGATTGGATCTGTATGGAGGCCCAGAAAGTATTATTTCATGTCGAAAGTCACAAATAAATCCATGATCCACACCAAGTGTTTATTGAGGCACAGTAAGTTGTTAGATTGCATTGCACTGCCAATGAAGGATATTTTGACTGTTTTCAATACCTTGCTAACAGAACACACTCCCTGATGTTCACACTTCTATGCACATTCTATTAGAATGCTACAGATTTCAATTAGAATGTCACATGTAATTCTAATAATTTAAAAGAGCTAATCAAATCATTATAAATGTAACGACATGGAAACTGTTTCCTTCCACTTATTCGACAATCATAAAAACATAGATCTCTGTTTACTGTCTAGACATAATTTTGAAAGATAATCACACAGCGAAATGATAAGAGATTAAAGTGAAACCTTTTCAGTGCATTTCCCAGGTTTGTTAGAACTCATAATTCCTCATATGAATGATTCAGTGATATCTAAAGATCGGACGGACACCAGAGGCAACGGAAATCTGCAAAGACGTGCAGTTCCTTCAGTATATTCACACCAGCTCGAGCCGTCGCTGCTGGTTTCTGGTGGTCTGCATGTTCAAAGCTTCACCAGCAGAGGGCGGTTTTCTGTTTTAACAGTTTAATTGCCCCTCAACTGCATTTTCAGGATAATTAAGGAGGGGATTGATTGCTTTCTGAGTCTTGATGGAGGGATTTAGGGAAGGAAAGCATTTGATTCATGATCTCTTAGCCCATGTAGGGATACTTCCACTCTGTAAGGGGCACGTGGGTTTGCTTGAAGACCTGCGGGGACATCCATCGGAGGACATAGTGTGGGCCGCCGGGCTTGTTGTTGGTGCCTGAAAAGATTTACAATTATTTTTTAGAAAAAAAGTTTGTTTGCATTTCTGTTTGCACATTTTTTTAAATGTATTTTTAAACTTCTTTTTAATGTTAAATAGTCTTTTATGGTGAATCTGAAAGCAAGAAATGTTAAGTTTTTTTAAGCAAAGAATATATCTGAGATATTTTATATTCACTTATTTTGACTTGCATTTATATTTCACTTGTTTTTTGATTTTAAAAAATTATTACAAAAATTTTTAGTTAAAAATGTAAAATAATATTTTAAGAAACATTAAAAATTGACCAATATGTACATTTTTTTCCCAAACATTTTTTAAACAAAATAATTGTTTCTTTATAATGTTAAGCAGTCATTTAAAACAATTCTGCAGGCAAGAGATGTGAATTTTTTTTTAAGCAAAGAATATATTTGGAGGTATATTCACTGATTTTGACTTGCACTTATATTTCACTTTTTTAAGTAAAAAAAAAAAAAAAAAAAGGATCATTCCTTTGGTCGGTCGATGTGTTGTGGTTTACCTGATGCTCTGGCGCCACCAAATGGCTGCTGGGCCACAATGGATCCAGTCGATTTGTCATTGACAATAATTTCCAGCAGCGTTTCTCAAGGCCTTTCCTGCCTCATCAATAACAGCCCTGAAACAAGCAACCACATTATAAATGTATTTTAATGATGTATAATTCTATGTCTAGACATCCTCCAAAACATTTTTCATTGAAAAGTCGGGAATGTGCTGATCTGGGTTGTTTAATGGATGTCATTTACGTCCTAACTTAATCTGGGCCAGCAGCTGATAGTGAACATGATGAAATGGAGCTGCACTCACTTATCTTGGGAAAAGATGGCTCCTGTCAGGGCGTACGGAGAAGTGTTGTCTATTAAGTGCAGGACCTTCTTGTAGTCCTTTTCAGGGTAAACATAAATTGTCAGGATAGGCCCGAAGATCTCCTGAAAATGCAAAGAATATATATGAGATATTTTATATTCACTGATTTTGACTGGTACTTGCAGTTCTATGGAAGCTTATTTCCGCCATTGGAATAAAAAAATAAGTTGAGACAATTCTGACTTTTTTCTTTTGAATTGCGAGAAAAAAGTCAGAATTGTGAGATAAAACAACGCATTCATTTGAAATTGCTTCAGCAATGGGGAAGATGCATGGGCATTCATTTGCTTGATTTTAATGTTATTTTTCATTTTTACCTAAAATCTTCCCTGCTGAGACGGGGATACACAAATACACACACATTTCATACAGTGGGCTTAAACAGCTCGCCTTTTTACAGCAGATTTAGTTCACAAACTACGTACAATTTTCATTTCCAATAATAAATCCTAAAATTCAGCGTTATTAACTTTCTTTTTGCGCCATCAGTCGCGCACACACTCAAGCTCCAAAGATCTATAGCTCTTGGCTCGTTTTGAGTCAGACTTGTCAATTCACTGAATTGTTAACTGGAGACTCGCTCTGACCGGATCTTTTGAATCAGTGAGTCGTTGACTCAAGAACAGCTGCAATCTGATCAGTCCAATTCACGAATGAATCGTTCAGTGTGATTTGCAAACTGATTTTACTAGTTCATTGAATAGAATCAGCTCATTCATGAATCGGACACTGCTATGGCATCTCAGTTCAAAATTAAGAGGAATGACATGTTTTGAAGAAATGTAGTGGAGTAAAAAGTTCGGTATTACCAGGGGTGCACATCAGTTTTTCAGTCTGGTTCTTATGAGGGCACTTGGAGATTTAGTTTGGTGCTCACACTGCACATAGTGTGACCCATTAAATATAACTATAAAAAATAAAACAATAATAGTATTATTGCACTTTATTTAATTATTCATTTTTAAATAAAATAAACAAAATAATAAAGTTCAATAAAAATACAATGCTCATATTTACATTTTCATTTGCTTTTATTTATTTATTTATTTATTTATATAAAATGTTCAAACCTAAAATCAGCAAGCTTTTATTTTGGCAAGTAAGTCTATGCACTGTGGGTTTTTGCGCTGCCGAGTGAAGCACGTCAGTGAATGAAATGTCAGTTTTGTGTATTTGCTCTGAAACCGGCAGGGCACAGCCTTGAATTATGCATTCAGTTAGAAGGGAAATCTTATACAGTATTACAGTTAGTCGATCTAAAACGGTGATTGTGCATTAACAGCTGTCAATCATGTTGGTACGCAAATGAGCAGTCTGAACTTATTTACCCCGTGCATTTTTAATTTCACCCATGCATGCGCACCACTTATGTGCATCCCTGGATATTATGCTTAGGAATGTAGTGAGGTAAAAGTTAAAGCTCCTCAAAATAAAAATACGGAGATAAAGTACAGATTTTACACTTGTACTAAAAATGTACTTAAGTACGGTAACAAAGTAAAAATACTAAAAATACTGTCCACCACAGCCTGTGTCACATGAACAGTTTTGGACTATACTAAGCATTCAGTCTTGATCTGCTGAAACTTGCAAAACTCTCTGCACTTACGTCTCCCACTTTGATCTGTCTGAGCACATCCAGGAGCTGCTGTTTGATCTGAGGCCACAGTGAGTCTGGTACGTACATCCTGGA